CTGGGAAGCTTGAGGGTAGATAAATGGCAGGGAGGCCGGTGGATGTCAGCCATGGAGAACTTGATCATATGAAAGCCCAGGATCCTCAGAAACACCAGTTTGACAGCTGATGATGTCTTGAGAGATAACGACCTGAGGAGAGCTGGGGCGAGTGGACAGTGTGCCTGACTCTGGACCAAGAGACTCCAGGTTGGGCTCTGGAGAGCAATTACCCAGCATCAACACTGCCCTGGCTGCTTGTTGGAATGCTGACTGGTCTTGCCTGGCCCTTTTGCAGGTATCCATTGATGCAGTGATTTCATGAGTGCAATGGCCATGTCGTGTCCAGAAGACATTTCATAGCTCCCTTCTCTGTCCTCTAGTTCTTACATTCTTTCTGTCTCCTCTTCCAATATGTTTCCTGAGCAGGAGAGGTTTTGTTGATATAGATGTCTCATTTAAGGCTGAGCACTCAACAGTCACTTTTTCTGAGCACTTTGACCAACAGCTATGAGTCTGTGCCTTAACCACTGCCCACTCCAAACTCTCTAGTTAGGACTGAAAGCAGCACTAATCTATGGATATAAACATCAGTATTTAGAAGGCAGTTTGAAAGCATATCCATTTAACAAGACAAGAGTAATAGGTTCCCCTCTAGGGCCTGTGACTTCCCAGCCATGAGCTTTTGGCCAGGTTGACAGTAGCAGGCACAAATTCACTACTGTGGAACAGGTCTCACATCCAGTCCAAAGGCCTTTGCTTACTCCCATGACCTCAGTGACACTAAGGTCTAACAGCATGTGTGTGGCCTGAGGAGGGTCAAAGCATCTGTTCGTCTGCGTTAACGCTCTCTTCTGCTTTCAGGGCTCAGCACCAGACCTCCTGTTACAATTACACCTCGCTGCATCTTGGGATGTCTCATGGGCCGTCACTGCCTCACCTGTTGACAACAGACCATCTGAACAGCAGGACCTCTGAACATTCCCTGGACGTTGATAGTCCTGCAGTCCCTTCCTCTCCTGCCCATCTTGAAGCCCACATCCTGCTTCAGCCCAGTGTTCTTACTGTAGCTACTTTCTGCTTTGTCTCTACAGCCTGATGACCCTCAGATGGCTTAGTAAAGATGACTTTCCTCTTCTTCTCCAAGATCTTCATGTTGAGCAAAAACGGAAAGGCACATGGCCATGCACAGTCCTCTGCTCCTTCCTCAGCCTCCCAGCCTCACTCACCTTCACTCACTTTCACAAGGAGAAACATTTGGTTCTCCTGATATGTGAACTAACCTCTGGTTGCATCCTCAAACCTTCTGCTTATGAAAGGAATCGTGGAAGCATTTCTGGATGTCTCCATTGACTAGATTAATTTTCTTCTGCCAGCATACACACAGCACATACACATGCACACACACATACATGCCTGCACACACACACTCACACATACCACACACATGCACACACGTACACATGCACTCCATAATAGAACATTCAGGAAGGAATGCCCTACCATTTCACAATCGACCAACAGATGAGACTATTCATTCAATTTAAAAGCTTAGGGGAGCACTGGGCCCATTTTTGTTTTATGATGTTTTTCTTCCTGTCTTTCTTTTGTTTGTTTCTGTTTGCTTTTTTGTTTGTTTGTTTCAGGCAGAGTCTTCCTGTAACCCCAACTGACCTGGAACTCACTATGTACACCAGACTGGTCTTGATTTCACAGAGATCTGCCTGCCTCTGCCTCCTGAATACTGGGGTTAAAGATTGTGCCACCATGCCAAGCCTCTTTCTGACTTTTAAAAATCATGTCCCAGTGTGTACCCTGATCTGACCCAGAAATTCCCACGTAGCCCAGGCTTGCCTCAAACTTGAGACTGTCCTACTTCAGCCACCAGAGAAGTCACGAAGACCTGCTTGTATGGATAGACACACCAGGACAGCAAGAAAAAGTTTTCATTTGGGGGCAGAGAGATGGCTCAGTGATCAAGGGTGCTGACTGCTCTCCAAGGGGACCTGGCACCCACATGGTATCCAACAACTCCAGCTCCAGGGGATCTGATCCCTTCTTCTGGCCTCCATGAGCAACTACATTCACATGACACAATCACACACAAAGAAACTTAATTTGAAAATTTAAATTTATTTTACTCATTTTAATATTATCTGTATGAGTGAGTTTCCCCCATGTGTAGAAGTGTACCCGTGTCAGATCCCCCGGAACATGTTAGCCTGCATGTGGGAGCTTGGACTCAAACTTGGGTCCACTGAAGAGGACCAGCCAATGTTCCTAACCTCTGAGCCATCTCTCCAGCCCCAAACCTAATTTAAAAATCTTCAGAAAAAAAAGATTAATAGCACTGAAATGTCCATATTAACCAAACTCTATAAATTCAGTGCCATCACTAAATCCCAACGTGTTTCTTAAAGAAATGAACAAAAATCTTAAAATTCACATGGAAACAATAAGAGTCCCAAAGCACGAAAGTGACTCTCGCTCCTTCACAGTCACAGAATTACTTCCAGTAAACGGGATAGAGTTGAGCTCCTGCCCCTCAAGAGACGGCTCAGGAAAACAGCAGCTGCACACGGATTGTATTTGCAGCTTAGAGTCCCTGGTCCTTGTTACAACTTGGATGAAGCTGAGCTGTTGAGTGAGGTGAACCCAACACAGAAAGGAATTCCCAGGACTTTACTTAAAGCATGGAATCTGAGAATCACACTGGAGGGGGGGCGCAGTTACTCCCTTTTAGCAGCTCCACGGTGTTTATGTGAACTGTGGACACTTGGCAAGCAAGATTTGAATGTACACCTAAAAATAAAGAAAAGCCCTCCTCATGGGTGTTTCCCCAGTAGTGGCCATCAAGCTCGCCTGACATGTGAGAGGTCCCTAGTTTGAAACTAGGCGGAAACAGTAGTGCTTGTCTGGTCTACTTTTGGGTGTTCAAATTCCCAGAGTCATTCCCCACCCACTTCTTAGCCTGATCAGTGACAACAAATACAAACCCGCCTATGTTAGGGCGAGGGCAGCCTGCCCATTCACCTGCCGCATGGAATTTGGCAACACTGAAGTTTGCCAGCGCCCACTTCCTCGGCTCCCTTCCCTTCTTACAGAGAAATCCCTTTGAGATCTGCCCTGAGCGGTTTTGAAGAGAAAGAGGTGAAAAGAGTCTGAACTCTGCCTTTTGGGTCTTGACAGTCAGTGCGCCCTGGACCCTGGACGCAGCAGATAACGGTGTGGACCAGTACCGACTGCACATTGAATAAAGGACCCCCTCTATGCCAAGAGGGGGGATTAGCTCAAGTGGTAGAGCGCTCGCTTAGCATGCGAGAGGTAGTGGGATCGACGCCCACATCCTCCAGCTCCTATCTTTACCCTCGGACGTGGGGGTATTTATTTAATGACCCAAAGGTCCCGTTGGGATGCAGTCCCACTTTGACCCAAAGGTTCCGTTGGGATGCAGTCCGCCGGAAGTGGCTACTGCTGGTGCTTGCTCACGTCACCTCTCCCTTGACTGCCGTCTCCTGCCTTTTGCTCGGCTCGAGCTCACGCACCCACTGTCGGTTCATTTCACACGTGCGTGTTAACGTCTTGACTGATTCTTCCATACCCCCGAAAGATAATCCCTTCGCCAACAGGTGGATTTCCCCTCAAACCTCCGCGCTGCGTCCTTACAGGGAGGACCTCGCCGCCTCTCTGGAATCTCCTCCTGCTCCATCTCCTCCCCTGCTCTGCTCTGGAGCCCCGCGGGGACCAAGCTCCACCTTCGGCATCTCGCGGCGTGGCTCCCCTTCCCACTACTCTGGGGTTCCCATTTCTAAAACGTCCTGTAACAAGTTAAGCACCTGCCCCGATTCTCTCAAAAGCTCTGCGGCTTCTACAAGGCTCTTTCAAGGGGTCTCGGGCGTCCGTGTCCCCGTCCTCCTCTGGTGTGTTTTCCACCTGCGATTCTCCTGCATCGCTGCGCGACTTAGGCGGGAATTCTGCATCTGCGCCTCTTCCTCCCGGTGCTCTGCCTGCAGCGCCACCTGGTGCGCATCTCAGTTCTTTCCCTGGGTTTTGTCTGGGGTTTGGTTTTGCTGTTTGCTGTTCTCTCAGTCAGTGTCTGTGAACATCTGTGCGGCATTTTTGCAAAAGCACAATTGTCTGTCTTGGATAGAAATCAACTAGAAGGTCCCTAGGGGGTGTTCCGGTCGTGTAGTGCTTATCACGCTGGCTCCCCTCACACACGAGAGGTCCCGGCTGGGCACTAGGTGTTCTTTTTTGCTGTTCTTTGTTTTCCTCTTTACTCTCAGAATGTGGAAAGCGCTACTCGCCCGCCTGCCTTGGGCAGCGGCTCTCACTACAAACAGCCCACCCTCCACTCCTGTTTTCCCGCATTTCTAAAGAACCCTCCCGGGACAGCCCTACCGAGGCCACTGGACCGTCTTGAGTGGACCCTCCTCAGCCCGGAAGTCCTGGACAGTGACCACCAGGTTTCAGCTCCCAGAAGATGAATGTTTGCCAGAGCAGAAAGGCTGCGTGAAGTTGTCTGTCTGTCTGTGGATTAACCACTGCATCTCGGATTTCCACCTTAGGAGTCTTTGAATATAGTACGAAAACACGAGACTGAACACAGGATGCTGTGCACTCTTCTCTGCAGGAAGCAAGTGGGTGCAGAGGTGGAAACCCATCTGGGGAGACTGTGGCTGGGCGATGGACACGGGATGTGCAATGGTGGAAACTGCTCTTTTTCACTCTGCTTCCAGGCTGGTTTCCTCCTGGGTTCTGGGTTCCATCTGCTTTTCCCAGGACACTAAACCACAGACACAGACTGCAGTTAAAGGGTCTGTCAAAGGAGATGATGACCTTTAGGGTGTACGCCTTAGATGGCGGTATGTCAGTTCTAGAATAGATGTAAATTCGAGCTTCTCTTCTCTTGCAGGCTTGTTTGTTTGTTTGTTTTTGTTTTCTGTTTGGTTTTGGGTTTTTTTGTTTTTGTTTGGTTTGTTTAATTGCAGACTCTGTACATTTAAAATGAGAATATCACATGGCCCGTACGGGGATCGAACCCGCGACCTTGGCGTTATTAGCACCACGCTCTAGCCAACTGAGCTAACCGGCCACACGGTTGTTGTTCGTCCTTCTTCCTCCCCAGATACTAAGATACACTATCCAACCACCGAAGGAAATTTTCCACTTTTAACTTTATGTTGAAGTTGTAGAAAGTAACGACCCTGGCTTTGTTCTAGGTCCGAACTCTCAGTAGGAAGAACTTTCTGTACGAGGGCAGCAAATGTCCCCGTTTCCGTGACTCCTGTCGCAGGGCTCGTGTGACCCGGGACTCTGGGTGCAGCCGCCCAGGGCGCTCAGGGCCGGGGACTGACCCGCCCTCCCGCCTCCCCCGCGGTCTCCCCTGAACTCTGTCCCCCAGAACCTGAGGACGACGCGGTGGGTGGCGGTTCCGGATCCCGGGTCTCCTCCAGCGGCCAGAGCATCACCTGCTCCCGGGAGACCCGGGATCCGTCCCCGCGGCTCCAGACCCACGTCCGACCCGAGGACCCGCTGCGTGGGTCGCGGACGCGGGGCTCCGTCCCGCCGTGTCCGCCGCTGCCCGCAGACCCCTCTTCCCCCCGCAGGGCCGCGTCCCCGGCCGTCCGCTCCGGCTCTGGGTCTCAGTCCAGCGAGAACCCGCCTCCCACGCGGCTCTGACCCACGCGGCGGGTGCGGCGGTTCCCGAAGCTTCCCGGACACGCTGCGCGGCGTCTTGTCACCCGCAGGGGAGCCCTGGCTTTCTTGTCCTCGGGGTCTGAACTGAGTGACCGGCTCCCGCGCTCACTCCGCCCTCCTAGTGATGTCTGCGAGAAGTCGAGAACTTGGGATTCGGAAATGAGTCTCTGCAAGTCGCCCACACAGGACCGACCCGCGCCTGGGGCCGGAGTCTCTGCGGAGCGCGAGCTCAGCTTCACAGTCCGAAGACGCCCACGCGGGGCGGACGGAGGCCGCGTGACCACGTAGGACCCTTGGAGCAAAGGAAACCAAAGACTGGTCTCAGAGTTTTGCTGGGTCTTGTTCTGCCGACGCCCTGTCCCCATCCTTGGTTGAATGATTCCCCGAGGTTGGAAATCCTGTCTATTGGAGCTGAACAGGACCTTACAAACCTTCACCATAAAACTACCCCAAGAGGTGACCCTCAAGGCCCTGAATCCTCTCTCGGAAGCTTCGCTTATTAGAAAGATGGACTCTGCAGAGGTGGGGGCCTCTTTGGGCTCAACAAGCTTAACCAGGCTAATTTAGTAGGATCCACTAGTTTCTCTGCTATTTGGGGAGATGGGGTATGTTCTGGAAAGTGTTGACTTTGCTCCCTGCTAACGGGAAGTTATGAAGAAACAGATATTCCCATCCGCTGTTATGTATTAGTTAACAAACAAGTTCTCAGTACGACAACTTCTACAAACATGCCAAGTTGACCTATTTGAGTACTTCTAAAATACCTAGTAAATCCCAGTATCTAAAATGGGACTCTCGGTTCCCATAAGGGACTCTCCATCAGAGAGCTCACATCCCTGTGGAAACCACAGGTTCTACCTTTAAGATCCAGAACCCAGGCAATGAGTTGGGGTGAGGGAGTAGGGGGAGGATGTGATGGACATGCATTGTCCACATGCAGCAAATTTTCAAAGTGTTGTAAAAGCTGAGTCAAGATTCTTGTCTGGCTTTGGCAATTCCCAAGTTTTCTGATTACAGCAGTGGAATTCCTTCTACGGCACCTCTGCTTCTAAAGTAAAGGTCAGGGACTATGAGAGAAAGGCTTGTGGCAAAAATAAGTAAATAAATGACCTAAAAAATAGAATAAAAATTTAAAAATCTTTAATAGGTTTTTGGGACACAGAGATGAAAAGCAAAAGAAACCATGAGTCTATATCCCAAAGTCAGATGTGACATTTTGAAGAGAGTAACCTCCGCGATGTGGTTGGAAGCACAGGCTTGCATGGACTGACCTGCAGGCCTCCATTTCCCAGGCAAGACCTGGAAGGTAAAGGGTGCGTTGACTTAGGGAGCAATCTAGGTTCAGAACAGTGGACAGTAGGAGGGATGAAGGGAGGTGGAGGTAAGGCACTGCTCAGACAGACAGAATGAAGGTGGAGATCCCACAGACAGAATGAAGGTGGAGATCC